TATGATTTGTACAAATATAAACTCGTTGTATCAAATATTGCCCTTGGTTGTTATATTTACCAAAAATATGATATGTATGTCTAGAGAATCATGGCAAATCAACATATGTATAAAGTTTCTCCTCTAAAGAACTAAGATTACACGGAACATCAAATTCAATGTAACCCAAAGTATTTAAATAGACAACAATTTCAGCTCATCAACTTCACTAGCATTATGAATAACAAGTATATTTTCAGTACAAGTGCTCGATTTCAGCACACATATAGCATGATCATTTTTCAATGATTGCATGGGTATAACATAAATATCATCATAAAGTCATCTTCATCACAAGAAACATCAAGCAAATCATCTTGTGACAAAGGTAAATCAAGCGAAGGCTCCACTAAAATTTGCTCTATCATAGCATGATTGGTGGAAAAATTCAGCACATCAAGAGAACTCTCACCTTCCATGAGTTTAGCATCGTGGGCATTACCTTTGCTCTCATATTCAGCAGGAGTAATAGTTGATGGTTCTAAACTTTCACATGAGGCTGTGAGCATCTCCTTTCTATCACGTCATCCTCTCTCTTTTGTATATTGTCCTGCAAAATGTTAGGCATAGCAGAAGGAATAACAAGAGATTGATCTAGTTGATGCACCTCATCATTTGAATTAATTACAAGAGATGAATTAACAAAATTTTCTCTCATAAGATGTTTCATATCATTCCAAGTTTGAGGTTTATCAGAAGGATCTAAAGACTCCCACCAAGATAAAGCAGAATATCGCAAAACACTAGCTGTATTTTTTACCTTCCTCCTTGGACACATAAAGCGAGTAGCAAATATGTTATCGATGGCAATTTACCATTCCATGTACTCATCAGCACCTATACCATCATAAGTCGGTGGATATGAACAACCTGTCATTGTTAGAAGACAGCAAAAGACAACACAAAAGTATCATCCCTATCAACTACTTAGGTTGTGGACAAAAAAAAAAGGCACTCAACTCTCTAGCGTCTTACCACGGTCTTACAAGTGTTCTTACCAAAGCAACAGGCGGTGCAATCGATCGGTGACCGTGATACCGTTGTAGCTTGAGTGTAACAGTTGTAAGACAAACCTGTACTTGGTTAGAAGAAAGTGGAGCTTGGACAGACACAATATAGTAGCAAGAAAAAACAATATTCGCAACTGAATAGCAAAGCTGAATAAGTATCCCAAGTACTTGTCTTAGTTGATGGCCTACTCACGTTCCAAATACCAGATGTATCAAGTGATGTGAACAGCAAGAATATAATCAGGAACAAGGTAGAAATCAGCACACGCAAACACAACTCAAATGACGCTCTCTATGTGCTCCTCTAGATATTGTTCCTCTTTTACCCCCTTCTTTTTTTATTTTTTGGGCTGTCGTTGTTTTTTTCGAAAATTTCGACTTTTTCTTTTTCTTTTTTCGATATTTTTTCTTTACTTAGTAGCACAAAAGAAGTAACCACAGAAAATATGAGCTTAAACAAGTGAAATACGTGGCATGTGGAATTTTCAGAAAACTTGTTCAAAATCGACAAAAACCTTGTGACCATGAAAAGATGATCTTGTGACCACTTTTTGACCAATCTAAAATTTTTGAACCCCGGCAACGCCGGGGATGGACAGATCCAAATTTTTTCTAATCGATTTTGATATATGAAACGTCGAAAACGGAGTTCGTATGCGAAAACTAGACCAGTTTTACAAATCGACTCCGAATTAGAGGACAAAACAGAAACAATGCGCGCAAAATTTGGTCACGGCAGCAAGGAATTGATGGAAACAGTGAAGACAAGTGTAACAAATTAGATGACGTGGACTAGGGTTCGATGGAAACAAAGGAAACACAGCAAAACTTGAAGGTGTTCACGGATTATGATGAAAAACAAAGGGAAAAATACAAACTGGACTCAAAACGATCTAAAACCAGCAATCAGAACTTGACCTAGGGCACAAACTCAACAACACGAAACAGAAACGAAAATTACACGACACAATGAGGTTATAGGATAGGGAATATGTGGCGGTATATATTTTTTTGGCTTTTTGTGGACTATAGGTAATGCAAAAACAGTAATAATCTAAAGGAAAAACAAAGTTATACCTAACGGGTAACAAGGTCTCTGATATCACTTGATGTAGACTAGGCCCGATCTTCCGAAAGGTATGATAGCGTCGATTGGTGGAGACTCGACGTTCACGATCTAGGCTTCGAACCAAGACTGATTCGGACCCCGCAACCGTTACACCACTGCTCCGTTGGTTATCAATCACGCAAACGCGATTGACCTCGCCGAGAAGGTTTTACTGCAAGAGAATCGAGAACACAAGTAAGAACGGAATCAACGCAATCTGAAATTGCAAATAAATATGGGGCTTCTGAAAACAATAAAGAGTTCAAGTCTTTATTCGAAAGGACTAATCGCCACAGGCGAACAAGATCAAGAAATAGGGCCCTGGTTCACAGCAAGCGGCCTTGGCGGCGACAGTTGCAGCAAAACGACGTCTGTTTCACGAGGAAATCAAGAACTAAACAAAACCCAAACCCTAAGGAGAGCGACGACTGGTATTTATAGAGTCTTGGGCGTCACCCCCCTGGACGCGCCCCTTAATGGGCCAAAACACAATACATGGTCCAACAGACCAAAATATGGTGTCGCAGCACCGTGACAGATTCTGGACGCTGACTTGTTTCGACGATTCCCGTTGATTCCGAAGAGCTTTTGACGTGAAACCACTTGGGTTGGTTTCCTTATCAAATTATCTTTCCATCCATATGTGGATCGTAAAAAACGGAGTCCGGATGCATTCTGGGTGACTAGTTTAAGACAGACTAGTCCTGTAGGCCGAGATGGACTCGAACTTGATTTAGGCCTCCACCTTGGTGACTCGAACCGGATGAGCTTCGGGCCTCCTTCTCGCTTAGGACACCCTCGCTGATCTACTTGGTCTCCATATGGTTCTCCAAGCATGGTCATATGTATGGAGGTCATGTCCTCATCACCTGCCGCCCTGCGGCCTACAACCATGCGCGACCCCAACGGGCAACGGCGCATGGCGCATCGCCTGTCGCTTTTTTCGATTAATCTACGTATCACTCGAGCATTATTTGTGATCGGCTCACTCGAATCTTCAGCCGTCGGACGTGTGCTGCAGAGTCCATCCACCTGTACACGTAAGCCTGCTCTCTAGAAGCCTCTCCACACTACGTGAAGCCCAGCCCAGTCTTATCCTTCCCATCCTTATCCTCTTCTATCCCTTCCACCCCAGCGCTCTCCTCCATTACCCACGCGCGCATGCTCCGCCCAGCGCTGCTCACCTTTGCGACGGCTCCTACGCCTTCTTCCTCTGCTCCATGCCCATCGGCTCCGGCGTCCGGCCTCCTCTGCTCAGTTGTGGGCGGCGCGACGGTGGGCGTGCCTTCTTCCTCTGCTCCTTGCCTGTCTGCGGGACGGCGCGACGACGAGCGTGCCTTCTTCATCTGCTCTCTCCCCGCCTCCTTCGCCTGTAGCTTTGGCCAGCGCTTCTTCCCATGCGGTGGATTGCTAGTTTCTATAGTATGTGTGAGCTACATTGACACTTACATGCTACTATTACTAGTTTTACATTGTAGGATGCAATATAATTTGTTCAGACCATGTAAATTTCTTTTTTTGAGTGGTGTAAACTTATCTGTTTGTTGGTGTAATTTGCTTTTAGTTTGTAAATATGCATTCTGGAATTTGTATTTCTTTCCGTTCTTTTTTAATTTCTTCCAATTTGCCTTCCATAGAACATATCTGATTATTTTTCTTTTATTTTTATTTGCAATTTTTAAATCTGCTATATGGAATTTGTATTTCTTTCTATTTCTTTTGAATTTCTTTCAATTTGCCTTCCATAGAACAGATCTGATTATTTTTCTTTTCTTTTAATTTGCCTTTTGTATGTTTTATATGTTTTATTTATTTGAATTTATTTGATTTGCTTTTTCTAAATATTATATGTTAATTTGTTTTTTTATCAGGCCATTGGATCTGTATCTTGTGGTTTTTGAAAATCGGGTGATTTCTGGATTCAAATCACTCGATTCTGACTGCTCTGCAGAACTGAGTGATTTGTAGCCCTCTATCACTTATCAGGCCATTGGATCTGTATCTTGTGGTTTTTGAAAATCGGGTGATTTCTGGATTCAAATCACTCGATTCTGACTGCTCTGCAGAACTGAGTGATTTGTAGCCCTCTATCACTCGGGTGTCAGGAGGGTAGGCCAAGGTGGACTTCACTTAAGCACAATCCTACTGTTACCCAATCTTCGCTACTGGCTGGACTGGAGAGAGCCGAGCACTTAACATCCGAGGTTTCAGTTTTTTCCAACAACGAAAACATCCAAAAGATTTTGCTTTGGCCGAGTTCATGTCACGCTGACAGTGGGTAAACTCATTTCTTGCATCTGACTACCGAGCAGTCCCACTGGTCAGTGAAAGAAGTATAACATTCCAGAATCTAGACAATGATAGGACCTAGACTACTTGTGGTGGATAAAGGCCCTATTCGGCGGCTGATGCTGATTTGTTATGGGAGAAAAATCATTTTTTTTTTCTGAAACGGATGATAAGTTCAAACAATAGGGCCAAACTTCGATCCAACCTACTAGAGTTTGTAACTGAGGTGACCTTCTCACCCCTAGCTAATTAATTTTGGAAGTTATTATATTCCAGGTGTCTGATTTTTTAAAGAATTTTCGGGCAATAACTAACCAGAGATAACTATTACAATCAAAGGAACTCATAAGAGACAAAGAACGAATTTTTTTATAGCCAAACAATGACAAAATTGCATGTTGCCTGAACAATAATAAAAGATCAGGCAATAGGAGAAGTGATTAATTTATTCTACGGGTATTTTTTCAGTAGTTACTGCACTACTGTGTGAAGTACAACCCTGAAGACACTGAAACTACTACTGTTCCTCCTCATCTTGCTGGTTTTGTTCATCTTCATCCCCTCCGCTCGCCTTCTTCTCCTTGGCCTCTCCCAGCGCCCTCACCAAGTCCGCAAGGCATGGGTCCGGGCCGTCGTCCAAGCTCTTGGGCGTGAGGTTGTTCCTCCTCATCTTGCTGGTCCTGTTCATCCCCTCCGCTCGCCTTCTTCTCCTTGGCCTCTTCCAGCGCCTTCACCAAGTCCTCGAGGCACGAGTCCGGGCCGTCGTCGAGGCTCTTGGGCGTGAGGTTCTCGGCGACGTCGGCCGGCGTAATCTGCACCTCCCGGAGCAGCTCGCCGACGGCGTCGAACAGCGGGTGCGAGTCCACGTCGAGGTACGTCTTGGCCAGGAACTTGAAGGCCTCGAAGCCGCAGTAGGACATCTCGATGTGCTTGTCCATGCGGCCCCTCCGGATGAGCGCCGGGTCCAGCTTCTCGACGTGGTTGGTGGTGAACACGATGATCCGCTCGCCGCCGCACGCCGACCACAGCCCGTCGATGAAGTTGAGCAGGCCCGACAGCGTCACCTTGCTGCTGGTGTCCTTTTTCTCGCCGGGGGCCCTGAAGGGGGGGCCGCCGTCCTTCTTGTCCTTGTCGTCATCCTCCGCCGCTTTATTCTTGCGCGCGCCGGTGAGGTCGAGGGAGCAGTCGATGTCCTCGATGACGATGATGGACTTGCTGGTGGTCTCGATGAAGAGCTTGCGGAGGTCGGTGTTGGAGTGCACGGACGTGAGCTCGATGTCGTAGATGTCGTAGTCGAGGTAGTTGGCCATGGCGGCGATCATGGCCGACTTCCCCGTCCCGGGGGGCCCGTACAGGAGGTACCCGCGCTTCCACGCCTTGCCGACGCGCCCGTAGTAGTCCTTGCCGTTCTTGAACATGTCGAGGTCGTCCGTGATCCTTTTCTTCTCGACGGGGTCCATGGCGAGCGTGGCGAACGTCTTGGGGTGCTCGAACGCCACGTGGCTCCACGCCGACCTCATGTACCCGCCGTCGCTCCACTGGCTGGTGGAGATGTTGGTGAAGAGCTTCCGCTGGCGGTTCTTCACCATGACGGCGCGGCCCAGCTGGCGGACGCGCGGGAGGTAGGTGTCCAGCACCAGCGACCGGTGGAGCTCCAGGAAGTAGAGGCGGTAGAAGCGGCGCTCCTCCTGCGCGGCGCCGCCGCCCCAAAACGCCGCGGCGCCGTCCGAGCGCGGCGGCTGCTTGGAGTAGGCCCCCCAGAAGATCCTGGCGCCCTGGAACTCGTCCTCCACCTCCTCGCCGTCGGACATGCTGAGCACGAGCTTGTCGGCGTCCTTGGCGCCCTCGGCCCGGAGGTGGCGCACGCCGCGGGCGCTGGCGTCGCTGAGGTAGGCCTTGACCTCCTCGTACGCGTCGCTGCGCTTCATCCGCCCGCCCTCGTACTCGGCGATGGTCACCGACAGGTACGGGTCCACCATCGCCGCCAGCCGCCGCGCGTGCCGGCTCAGGTGCCGCGTGAAGAACTGCTGCAGCTGCAGGTGCTGCAGGTTCTGCCACACCACCGTCCACAGCACGGCGATCAGGCTCAGCACCACGCCGGAGTTGAGCCCGCTCAGCATCGCTTCCATCGCCATCGCCAGCAACCACTCACCACCTGCAGTGTGGTTGGGTGCTTCGATCTGCTTCCTCGCTCGCTCGACGATGGACCCGTGCGGCCTTGGCACTTGCCAGTCACACACAGCACGCGGCAGCTGGTCTGGTCCCGGTCCGGCCTCACCCCCTGCCTGTATTTATAGAATCTTCACAGTGTGGGCCAGCAGGCCGTGGGGAAGGGGAAGGGGTGCGGCGTGCGCGTGCGCGTCGTCGTCAAGGCGGCAACCATTGCATCACGGGCGACGCCGATCGACAGCACGTCAGCTTTGTTGCGTCCTTTGGAATGCTTGCTCGTGAAGGAGGTGAGCCGAATGGGGTAATGGGCAGACGCTGCATCTGCAGTTCTGCACTGCCGGTTGCCTGTCGTGCGCGCGCGCTGGACCTGAGCTGCTGTGAACGGAGGACATGTCGGTATCACGCATTCACGCGCGCCGGCCGTGTCGACGTGACCTGACGCGTCGCCGTGGCGAGTGGCGGTGCACGGTTCCTTGGCGACCAAGTGGATGGGACTGGGAGCTGGACGGCGCGATGACGAAGAGGAAGATTGCAACTACTACGCTGACGTTTCGAGTCGGTTTCCTTGGCTCGGCGCGGGAAATCAGAGGACCAGCTGAGTGGACATCGCGTGTTGGCTAGCGCCTTGTTTAGATGCCATCCAAATTCTAATTTTTTTCATTCTCTCTTTGTCATATCAATTTTTAGCCGCTTATATGAAGTATTAAATATAGATAAAAAAAAATAACTAATTACACAGTTTAGTTAGAAATCACAAGATTAATCTTTTGAGCCTAGTTGGTTCATAATTGGACAATATTTGTCAAATAAGACGAAAGTGGTACTATTCATCAGGTTCACTTTTTTTACAAAGTGAATGAGGCCTAGCTTGCAACTGAATACATCGTGTCACAAAAGGCTCGCTCGTCTTCCATCAGCATTTTCGGTTGGCTGGTTCGTGTCGTTGATGGTTTGTGAAGAAGTACTGCTAGCTGGTTTGTGTGAGAGAAAAATGCTATTTCGACTAAAAATTTATGATCATTTATGATAAGCCATAGCTAAACGAACATGCTCATGTGCTCTTTAAATTTGGGAATTCAATGTCATATTTTATTTTTATAAAAATCAGAAACTCGTTCTAATAGCAACTCTAACGTGGAGTACTCTTTATATCATAGACATCTTCTATTTAGAATTTCTTGCTAGACAAAGATGGAGAGCGAGAATGAATCTTTAAAGCGCGCATAAAATATAAAAAAAGTTGTCAAAAAGTATATACAAAGATATAAAAAAACAATTTTTACACAAACAACTCTTCGATGATTTAGAGAGTAAATTTTAGAAAAACTATTAGAGATATTTGACCCTCTATGCACCACACCACACCACGCCATAACCCAGCCAAACCGCCGTGTGTCTGGACTTCTAAAAAATAATAGTTGTTCATGATGGCTTATTTATTGTGAGCTCGGTGTGAAGTTTGTATTATAATACTTTAAAGTCCTTCCACACTTTATGTAAATTCATACCCCCTCTGTCACTAAATTATTATATCAACTTTTAGAGTTGTTCTAAGTCAATCTATTTTAAATTTGACCGGCTTTATAGAAAAGATCCCCAATGTTCATGATATCAATTGGTATTATTAGATATATCATGAAATATATTTTCATAATATACTTATTTGATGTCATAGATATTGTTACTATTTCCTATAAAGTTGGTCAGCTTAAGACCATATTTGGATCAAAGAGATAATAGTTAGACTTTGGATCAAAATAGGTCTAACTAATAATTTAGCTAATTGTTAGTTGAGTACCAAACTAAAAACTATTTCATTGGATGAACAAAACTAGCTAATAGCTGCTAATATTAGTTGTGTCCTATTACTAGCTAACTACTAACAGCTAATGGATCCAAACAGGATCTAAGATAGTATGACTTAGGATGATTCTAAGAATTAATTTATTTCAAGACAAAGATAATATTATTTTTGGGCTACGATAGCTACCTATAGTGTGACTCTTATATCCCACCTCTTCTCCTTCCTTAATGCAAAAGGTTTCAATAGTTAGGGCATCAAAACAAGTTATTATGTGTAAATATCCTATAAAAGTGTTTGCATAAATTCATGAGGTGTACTCATGTAACAATATTTACTTTAATTGTTGAATTAGTTGTTGCCAACTTGATAACGAGGTATTTGTAATATTTTGGGTTGTTAGTACCATCTTTTGTTGAACATGATCGCATGAGTAATAACTTATACGAGCAACCAAGCCACCAGTTAGATTATGTTGCAACTTTGTGTAAAAGTTGTATGACAACATATGTTGTAGGTTTGGTAATAACTCTAATGTTAGGTAACATCTTTGTGTTAGATATATGGTAGCAATTTATGAACGTAAAATTTTAGTTTAATTGCTTGCAGACATACCATGTACAAATAAAAATGACTGATAAACTTATTCAAATTTGATTTCTATTTGTACATCTTGTCAAAAAGAACATGATAATGCAAAACGAGGTTGAAAACAAATAATATGTGAGAGTGTAGTGACTATTCACCAATTAAAAGAAAATATACAGATTGGCACATATCTTTCCGGAACTAAGAGTTCCAACATAATTTCTCTTTGACATAGTCACTAACAAGGGCGAAGCCTAGTATGGAGCCGTGGGTGCCCAGGCACCCTCTCCAATTCCAAAAATTCTGAAGGATTAGGAAAACTCAGCCCTATGGGCACCCCCCATGGCCCAAGACAAGGCACCCCCCATGGCCCAAGAAGCCTACTGCGCCACTTCCTTCCAGGCTCAGGCTTCAAGCTGAAGCGTCGCACGCCCAGGGGCGCGGACTCACGGTTCCTTCCGCAGTTCCAGACGACGCCTCGCGCTACCGCCTCTCGCCTCATGACCGGCCGAGTCCGAGCAGCTGCGGACACTGTCATGCCACACCGCTTGCCCTGCTGCCGATCGCCGTCGTCGGCCGCCATCCACTCCGCCGAGCCAAGCGTCCGACTCGTTGGCGCCTAGCCGGTGGCTCCGTCCGCCCCTCCCGACTGTTGTCCTGTCTGTCCATGGTCCTCCCCGCCGCCCCTATCGGCTGTCTGTCCCTTCCATGGGCCATCGCAGACTCCTGCTGCTGCTGGTGAGTGTTTTTCTTTATCCTCAAGTTCATCCTCAATAAAATTATTTATACATGAATTTGTGAACTACAATTTAATTATGCAAATGACTAAATTATATGTAATCATGGAAAGAGCATATTGCTTTCATTGTTTTTTGTTTAGAGGAATGAAGAAAGTTAGCGATGAAGCTATGGTTCGTCATTTCATGACCGTGAAAGGAAAATGGTGCAATATGATATCTAAGAGGTAATGCAAATGCAATGCATCTATTTTCAATGGATAATTGTACTTTTTTTTGCTAAATTATTGGCCTATTTATTCTCTTTTCATTAGGTTGGATCACATATTTTGCTATATGGGATATCTTTTGTTCATCATTTTTGGCATTCTTTCAATCAATATACTACATCGATGAATGCCGTCTTTATTTTGTTATAAATGGTGAGTGTTATTATCCTTGCCTCTTGCTATTGTTTTGACAAAAATCACATTGCCATTTCTGGAAGTTGAAATTTTAATGTTAAAAATTGCGAACTAGTTATGCTATTTGTTTGAACATCATATGGGTCACAATATTTATGATGAAATTGTGCACCTCCCACCTATTTGCTCTTAGCTTCGCCACCGGTCACTAACATGTGAGATCTAAGCATGGAGTCTAATTGTTAGGGACCACATTAAAATGGAGGAACTAGTTCCACTCGAGGGCAGCAACAATGCAGGGACACAACATCAGTAGCCACTAACCATACAAAAAACTTGCTAATATTTCCCCAACCCAAGACACATTGCCATCTTTCCCACCACTCCATGGCCCCTATCTCTGTTATTATGGCCTCTTGTTTAGATTGCAAGTTTTTTCACTCTCTCTCATCATATCAAATCTTTAGACACATGTATGGAGTATTAAATGTAGATAAAAAAAATAACTAATTACACAGTTTGATTGTAAATTACGAGATGAATCTTTTGAGCCTAGTTAGACCATGATTGGACAATAATTATCAAATACAAACAAAAATGCTACAGTGCCAAATACTAATTCCTAACCCCAATCTAAACAAGGCCTATAATCAGTTATCATGCATTTCTCTCTCTGTCATGGTCCTGAGCTACCAAACGTCATCTAGGATGCAATAAGCCCTGTTGCTGTTTTGTCTTTTTTTTTGGTCAGATGAAGCTATGAACTCGAACATGTGACACTAGTGCGAACATAGATGCCGAGGTAGGACACCAGGCTGGAGCATTGAGGAAGTCTTGAAACCAAACTCACATAGCCACTAATCATGTTATATTTTAGCTTACTAGATAAATGTCCGTGTGTTGCACTGGAAAATAGAATTTAAATCCTATTTCAAATCATTGTTTATAATGCACGACACTTTAATAAACTAATGAATTGATCATTCCATCCTTCTCTTGCATATATTATGGTCTTTACTGAAATCTTTCGCAGAATCAAGTAATGCAACTTTCAGAACTAAATTACTCTTCTCTTCAGTGATATGGTCAAAGTCGAAGCTTCACTTTGCCATGGCTCCTATGCCTCTCACACCCCACCCCATGGTGACTGGCGACAACGTGGGCCAGTAGCAGCAGGACAGCAAGCAACCCGTGGTGATCATCAGGGGTGCACCAAGGGTGCACCAAGGGCGGGATCGGGTACGAGTACTGACATGTCTTAACGGCTCTCGGCTGTCGCATGGTAGTCATCGACGTCCGTGACGGAGTCACGTTCTTGCGCGCCACGTGCCTGGCGAAGTACGTCGGCGTCCGTGGCCTTCCTCGTCTAGATCCGCGTGTTGCCATGTGGGCCGCGACGTTGCGCACGGTGCGGACCTTGACGTCGAGGGCGCGCG